AGTCAGGAGGAGGTGGAGGAAGGTTTAGGGCTCCTTGCCCAGGATGAGTTCCATCAAGGCGCATGGAATCGTATTGAGATGGGAAACCTCATCCACGCCTCTTTCCAAAGAGCCCCTCATCAAGAAGGGAGAGGAAACATTTCTGGGTGGCACCTACAACTAGCCCAGTGGCATCACCACCACGCCCCCCCACCCACCCATCCTCGGGCATTTTGCATTTGGCGGCTTTTACAATTGGTTAGGCTGCTCTGAGTCTCAGCTGGAAGCCCACCTGCAGCTAGAGTGGCTGCAGGGCCTCCCGTGGTCTGAGGTCGTCGCCTGCGCCCCAGCTCCCCAAAACCTAGACAGGGTCCCAAGCGGGGCCAGGAAGGATGCTCCGGTCAAAGGACTCTTCCCCCTCTTGTGCCTTTGTCTGAGCCCTGGCTTCCAGAAAAACAGCACATGAATCTTGCGGCCACCCCATCCCACTCCGTCCGCACACACAAGCAGGTAGATTTATGGTGTCCTGCCCCCATCCCACCCCATCCCCAAGCCGGCTGCAGTCGGAGGACAAAGCGTCCCAGGGCTATTGGAATGCTAATGTCTGGGAGCCTGGCCGCAGGGCTGGCGCAAAGGCAGGCGGGGCCGGGGGAGCACGCAACCCCACAGGCGCCCTCTGCCCCTCCTCTCACCCAAAGGCCACACTGTCCGGCTGTGTGACCTTGGACAAGTCTCTGAGCCTCAGCTAATTCACATGAGAAGCTGGAGAGAGTCCCTAATACCCTTTCACTGGATTTCTGGGTGCTTAAGAGAAGGCCTTGCTTATGATGGACGGAATTATAGGCCCGGGCAACCACGGAAAAGGGACAGTGGGAAAGAGCCTTTAGACCCAGGGGAACAGTGTGTGTACAGTGTGTGTGTGGGCGAGAGGGAGAGGAGATTCGACTGAGAATGCGGTGCAGAACAAATGCTGAGTATATTATAATTACATTTTACGTATATGTAATTAAGATTCTCTGTCATGTTTCTTTCCCCTCTCTTCTCCTTTTTAATATCTGCAGACTGTGCTCAAGAAGGAGTGGGGGCGTCAGGGACACTCACTCACCTTATTGCCTGCTCCACCTTCAAAGGGCCAAGAGCACAGACTGTGGGAGACTTGGGGCTGGACACTTCTTATCTCAGGTCCCCTCCTACAGCCGGTGAGGGGGGCAAGGCAGGATGGCGACACCCATGGAAATAGAGACCCAAAGTCTTGGAAGTAGGTGACTTGCCCAAGGCCCTCAATCACTCAGTGAGTTATTGGAGCAAGCTAAAAGTATGACCCTGGCTCTAGGCTAGTAGTTTAGAGCTCTCTCCCTCTGTGCCAACTCAGTCTCTAGGTGTTTATGTACTGACTTGAGCTGTGTCCTCTGGGTCTTGTAAGACCAAGAGACTCCCTCGCACTTTGGCCGCTCTCCGGAACCCTAGCGAGATTCACAGGCTGCTGTGTGCCCCCTCTGCTTCTGCGATCCGAGGACCAAAGCTGTGGGAGAGAGCGTATGCCTGGCTAACACTGTCGGGCACCGAGGTCCTGAAAAGCGGCGGCGTGCCCCTGACCATGGTGCTGAAATGACTGCATCGGTTCAGAGGAGAGACGCTCCTGGGAACTTGGTGCTCTCAGTAAGGAAAACCACCTATCAGCCGCCTCTGCCCACCTTTCCAGTGCTGAGTCCCTAGGGAGCCCCCTGTGGATATGTAGACCCAGAAGGCTGTCGGTTTCCTTGATATGGTGGTGAAAGCACAGACTCTGTTGCTAATAACTGACTGTACGACCGACCCCAGACAGGCCCTTTTCTCAGCTAGGACAAAAAAAAATTCCCTTATAAATGATGGAGTTAGAATTGAGTTAGTTACCAGCTGAGGAATTTCTGACAGCATATGAGAGGTCTGAAGTGGAACAATATTGGAAGTTTAGGATGCAGCAGCCCTAACTGGAAAACTGGTTTGGAACTTTGCCCTCGATAATTTTTGAAGACAATCTAGGTTAAGCAAGAGCAAAGTGCCATTGTTTGCCTTTGATTGCGGGGTGGGAAGGGAGCATTCTCCATACATATTCTTTTTTAACTTTGCACCTTCTTTATATAATAGCTTGTATTTTGGTTATTTGCTGCCCTGGATACTTTCAGGAAGAATGAATTAAATACTCAGGGTGAGTGAGTTCAGTCTAAGATCTGAAGTTTTCAGCTATGAAAGCAGGAAAAATATACAACATTTTAACTTGACTGTGGCTGATGACGGTTGCATGTTTCTAATTTGTAGGTGTTTCCATCTTTGTGACAAGATGCTTTAATAAATCTCTTAAGTATTAAAAGGGAGGGGTCTCATTCTTTGGGTTAAAATGAAATTTTAGTTATTCCAAGAACAAAGACAAAAGGAAGCCCTCCAAACACATACACAAATGACAGAGTGGTTAAGAACAGTTACTTCAGAATCACAGAGACATTAGTTCAAAGCCTGGTACTGCCACTAACTAGTGGGTTTCAATTATACCCCTTTGCCTCCCTAAGGCCCCTTTTCCTCACCTGTGGGGTTGGGACAATAAGTAGTAGCCACTTAATTGGGCTGATTAAGTGTGCTTTGCTTTTAGTGCACATTAAGCTGCCATAAATGGTAACTATTATTATTATTAACATCTTCATTTGTCTCAAATTCTTCTCATTCTCCCAGGATTTTTTGGGGTGGAGGAGGTTGTTTTTGTATGAATTTGAATCTCCTGTATAGTGCAAGCTGGCACAAAGGCCAAGGGCCACCCACCCCTTCCCGGTGACCCTCCCCAGCTGTGATCTACCTTTCCCATGCTCCAGGATTATACATCCAGATGTCACTTGGGCACCCCAAATGAGACATGTTCAAAATGGAATTACTCTCCCCTAACTCCAAACTAATGCTGCCTCTTGTACCTGATCTCACTAACTAGCATCACCCAGTCATCCGTACTGGAAATATAGGGTTCATCTTGATTCTTCTCTCTTACTACCCACAACCGATTAACCCTTAAGACCTGCTGATTTGTCCTTCCCACTATTTCTTGAACCTGGCCTCTCCTTTACCTCCTTATGATGACGTCTCTAGTTCAGGCTCTCAACTTTCACATGGAGAGACTGCCCAACTGATTTCTCTACCTTTTTTTTTTTTTTTTTTTTTTTTGTTACGGGGGCCTCTCACAGCTGTGGCCTCTCCTGTTTCGGAGCACAGGCTCCGGACATGCAGGCTCAGCGGCCATGGCTCACGGGCCCAGCCGCTCCGCGGCATGTGGGATCTTCCCGGACCGGGGCACGAACCTGTGTCCCCTGCATCGGCAGGCGGACTCTCAACCACTGCACCACCAGGGAAGCCCCCTGATTTCTCTACCTTTAATCTCAATACTTGTCCCTATACCCTCCATGCTGCAGCCACAGAAACATGCAAATATAACACTGTCACTCTCCTGTTTAAAATCTTCAAATGGTTCCAATCATCCCTGGGATAAAGCTCACATTCCAATAGAGAAGGATGTTGTAATGTGAGCTTTGATGTGATATGGATCTGGGTTCAATTCCCATCTGGTTCACTAATTATCAGTATGACTCATGAACAAGTTCCTTAGCCTTTCTCTCAATCTCTTCATCTGTAAAGCAGGGATAATAATATTACCTTATGGAGTTTAGATTAAAGTAAACCCAGGCTGCTATAACAGGCTCACCAATAATTCATTCTGAAGTGAGCATTCCATGTGAGTGGATAACTCTGCTCTGTGGCATCACTCAGGGACCCACACTCCTTCCATCTTCTTCCTCCCCCAGCTCCTAGGTCCCTGCCATCCACATGATTGAGGCTCATTGCCATGGGTCCCAGCCAGTGGGAAGGGGAAATAAGTCATGGAGGAGCCTCACCCACAGTCTTAAAGTTTAGACTCAGAAGTAGCATGTTTCACCTCTGCTAACACTCCACTGGGAGTACATGATCGTATCCCATCAACCTAACTGGAAGAGGGGCTATGTGCCTAGGAAGAAGTGAAGAATGGGTTCTGGCAGGTGATGAGCAGTCTTCACCACAGGACTGTTGTCAGGATTACATTGGATTATATGTGCTAATATTTGCTTTTATCATCGCGAATCACTCATGCTTATGACCAGAGTCCTGCTGCAACAGCCTTTCTTTCATAATGTCTTGCTTGTCTTGGCATTTACCCTCAGAAATACTGACCTGCTTGAAGTCTTACCCTTAAACACAGTCAGTACCACTTCCATGCTTTTTTCCCCACACTGCTGTCCCTGCCCAAACCCTCATTTCCCCGTCCCCAAATCTCCAACGTGGATATCACCTCTTCTCAGAATCTTTCTCTGAACTATTCCTCCCTCCTTGCTCCTGCTTCCATAATATCCTGTGCATAAGAATATCCTTGCACTTTCCAGGTAGCACTTGTGATTATCTGTTTGCTATTTGTGCCCTCCACTGGCAAAAGGAAGTGTCCTTCCTGTCTCCAGTGAGTACCCATTCTCAACCATATGCCACATGTTTTTAGAATGAATTAGAGTAAGTGAATTGACTGACTGGATGAAAGGTATTTCAATTATATGTTAGAAATTTCTATCCTTCCCCCGACTGGCTGCTGTATAAAGGTCAATGAATATTCGTTGAATAAGTGAATGAATAAATTAATAAATTATACAGAGACCCATTACCCTTCCTGCATCATACCCTCCTCGGCATCAAAATAGCCTGTCTTTGGCTGCCAATGGGTTTATTTTAGAAGATGCCCCAACTGATTTGGTGAGACTGGGTTATCACAAGAGTATCATTGTTTCTGAGATCACCAGTAACAATTCCAATAGTCAGGTGTGGGTGATCCCTCCTAAGATAGTCCATTAGAGCATGAAGCTTGGCATCTATCTCAACTCCAGCACTTCCTAATTCTATCACATGAGCAAGTTACGTAGCCTCTCCAAGCCTCCATATATAAAAATTTCTCCAAATATCAACATGAAGAAAACCACACATACCTCATAGGGTTTTATGAGGATTCAGATGAGATGACAGGTATGTCCATACACTTCATGTGCCTGCCTGCAATTTAAAGCAGACCTCATTATAATTCCCACCCCATCTCCATCTTAAGCCTACAGAAGGCTAGCTAAGAAGGCAGAGACCAGGACTGACTTTCCCACATTAACCAGGGAGAGTTTATATGACTTGCCCAAGCCTGTTAATTATGGAGACAAACTGATGCTCCTGCTGTTCTAACATCATCACCAGCTATAGTACCTCTGTCCTACTACTTATCTATTGCTGCATAACAAATTACAAAAAAACGCTATTACTTAAAACAAGAAACATTTATTTTGTGGGTCTTCTGTAGGTGAGGAATCCAGGCATAGCTTAGGTAGGCATCCCTGACTCAAAGTGTCCCATGAGGCTGCAGTCAGGGTGTCAGCCAAGAATGTAGTCTTACCTGTTGGATTCGCTGGGGCCGGATCCACTTCCAAGCTCACTCATGTGGCTGTTAGCAGGACTCAATTCCCCGAGAGCCATTGGACTGAGGGCCTCAGTTCCTCAGTGGCTTTAGACCAGAAGCGTTCCTCAGTTCCTTGCCACATGGCCCTCTCCATAGGGTAGCTCACAACATGGAAACTGGCTTCCTTCAACACAAACAAACAAGAGGTAGAGGGACACCCAAGACGGAAGCCACAGTCTTTTTGTAATCTAATCTCACAAGTGACATCTCATCCCTCTGCCACATTCTATTCACTAGAAATGACTAAATCCAGGCCACAGCCAAGGTGAGCGGATTGCACAAGGGCACGAATACCAGGAAGCATGGATCATTGGGGTCCATCTTAGAGGCTGCCCATCACAGCGGCAGTAGCAGAATATTTGCTGCCTGCCTTCTACACCCTAGAGACAGACAGACAAACACACATGTGCACGCACATGTGTGCACTCACACACATATACCTCCCTAGGACCAAATATATCAAAGTTCAAAAGAAGAAAGCCTAGGTGATTTGACTCCTGGGGCTAAAGCAAATGTCTCTCTGTCGCCCGGTGCTGGGTCTGTTTCCAAGAAGGGCCCAGGAGGGGCACCATTAAGTGAGCACTGGAGCTACCCCAGCTGATCTCTGACATCCGTTTACTGCTTTCACAGGCCTTCCCACCCCCACTCTCGGAGGCAGAGATTTAGGACGTCTGGAGCCTGGACACCGTACCCACTGAAGGGAAATTTACTGCCTCTAGAGAACCAGAGCCTGACTTGGGGTCCTGAATGCATCTTTTTCCCCTTTGCCTCTGCTTTATTAGGTTAATCATTGCTTGAATCGGTTGCCATGGTTTGGGCAAACCCATGGTGACTCTATAATGAAGCCTGAAAGACTTGGACCCCATTTATCATCCCCAGTGTTTGGGAGGCCCAGAGTCTCATTTGCCTCCCCCAGGGTCTGAGCACCACCATTCTGCCTGGGGCCCCTATGCTCCTTTTGAACGAGGAATGAACATGTGGTGACTTGGAAGAGAAGAGGAGACCCACACAGGTGGAGTGAGCAGGGCATTGCACATTCCCCTCCACACACACACACACACACACACACACACACTTATATTTTCCACTCTAGGAGCCCAGACACAGACCAAACACACAGGCAGCTCTGCCACAATTCTTCTTTCTGGAAAGTGAGAGGCAGAGAATGATGTTCAGTTAGAAGGGATCCATGGCTGTCCTTAGAAACAGGGGAGCTTGTGTCTCAGCAGATCCAGATTCCACACCCCTTAATCCACGGGCACAAATTAAGCAGCGCTGCAGTCCTGCAATGAGGTGGAAACAGATGGGGCAAGGCCCAGTGGGAAAACGGAGGCATACAGAGGTTCAGCAACATGTTCACGGTCACCTAGTGATGGTGTGGCCAAGGTAGAACCCAGAACCAGTAAAATGCGTTTTCAAAAAAATCACAGATAGAGGTGCATAGTGAATTCTCATGTATCCATCACCCAAATTCAACAATTATCAACACAGAGGCAATTGTTTTTCACCCACATACCTACCCACTTCCCCCAGCACTACCTCTGTTGGATTATTTTGAAGCAAATCCAAGACATCATACAATTTCAACCACGAATCCTTCCCCAGTTTCAGGGGTTTTTTGGGTTTGTTTGTTTGTTTGTTTTTTGCATCATAGAGCGTAGGAGCTGAGAGCTGCTCTGAAGACAGACACTCTGGGTTCAAATCCCAGATCTGCCCCTTCCCAGCGGTGTGACCTTCAGCCAGTAACCTAATGTCTCTGAGCCTCAGTTTGCTCAACTATAAAAGGATACAGTGATACTTCAGAGGGTAATTGTCAGAATTAAATGAAATTTTATAAGACAAGTGCTCAGCATCTGTGCCAGGGGCAGAGTAAATGGAGGCTTTTATTGTTTCCATTTTTGCTACCACTGTGCCATCAGCAATGGCTGTAGTCTGGCAGGAAGTCAGCTCTTGGCCTCCAGCATCCAGGTCTCTTGGTGCTGTCTCCTGGCATAGAGGCAAGTGGCTTGTCACTACTACTCTGTGCCTAGCACTGCACTATGAGAACACAGACCTCAGCAGTGAGCTTGGTGTCAGGTGCTGACGGCCCCCAGCCTCTACCACTCACAACCCTGCTCAGCTCTGCACTATGGACCCCCAGATCAGCAAGACCAGGACCCCCTTCTCTTCTCCTTGCATCTTTAGGCCTTCTGACCTCTTTCCTGATGGTCCCACTTGTGAGCAGGTGTCAATATACCTGCCTTAAGGTTGCATGTATATGTGTGTGCGTGCATGTGCCCATGCTTCTGTGTGTGCATGTACATGCGTGTCTGAGTGTGTGCTGTCCCTCTGTGTGAACTAGCATATTCTCATGTCTCCATGTGCTCAGCTTTTGAGAGAGACCCCAGATGGAGACTAAAACCTGCCTTCTTGCAGTTCACATTTGACTGACAGAGACCAGAGTCAAACTGGTCAAACAAAGGCATGACAGCACAAGCATGGTACTGAGACCTCCTGGAGGAAGCAGGGAGAATCTAAGGTCTACCAAACACATAAGATTGGGAACAGAAGAGAGGGGCAGGGAGGGGGCTCCATGGAAGCCGAGGGTGGGGGAAGGGAGCCAGCCTACTGAGGTTTGTTGTATAGAGGAGGCCTGGGTCCTAATAGCTGACCTCTCCAAAAAAGGTTATTCCAGGAAATCACCCACACCCCCAGGATCAAAGCTCCAAAGAGTTCTCTTGGGCGGGAAGGGCCCCCCAAATTTCCCTTTTTCTGGATGGCAACTAATTTTTATTGAGTGTTTACTATGTCTAAGCAGAGTTCTAGTGCTTTCTGTTAATCTATGAGATCAGAATTATTATTCCCATTTTACAAATGATGAACTTGAGGCTGAGAGCGATTAACATGTTACACGTTACCCAGTGAGAGGTGGAGTTGGATTGAACTCAGGCTCCTTTGCCCTGGAGGCAGTAGACCTAACCATGGCTACACTGTACCACTGCCATGCTCTACTTTTCCTCTTTTTAAGTTCTGGTTTTGGACATTTTCAAACATGCATAAACTAGAATAGAATCCCGTGTCCTCATGGACCATGACTCCGCTTCCGCAACCATTAAGTCATGGTCAACCTTGTTTCATCTATTCACCCCGCCCCTGTCTGCCCCAATCCTGCACACACACTTCTATATTTATTTGTGTGGAATTTTTAAAAACACATCCCAGATATTGATCATCCCACTTGTAAAGACTTCAGTGTCCATTTCTAGGTGATAGAACATTAAAAAAAAAAAAAGCCATTTTTTATACTTAATAAAATTAACAATTCTATAATATGATCTAATAGCTAGTCATATTCAAACACTTCCAATCAACTTTTTAAAAATGTGCAAAGAATCTCCATCTTAGAATCTCCTCTCTCCCAACTGAGCAGGTGAGCCAGGCGGCCAGCTGGAGGCCAGGACCAAGGCCAAGACCAAGACCAGGCCAGCCTTGACTCCCTGGCTTAGTGGGACTGGCCTTGGGCAAGTCAGTTTCCTCCCCGCCCCACCAGTCTCACCCCAAAGTTTGGTGACCAGTCATTCTGGTTTGCCCAGGACTTTCCCAGTTTTAGTACTGGAAGTCCTGTCCCCAGCAAATCCCGATGGTTGGTTACCCTACAAGGAACCAGGAACCTGTGTCCACCCCAGCCCTCCCTCCCCCTCCTAGCTCCAGTGTGGTGTCACCCACTGAGAGCAAGGGGAGCCTGCCACTGAATTTCAAGGGCCCTCGAAATAATAAATAATTTACCGAAAGCTTTGAGGGGCCCAGGCGTGCCTGGCTCCAGGAAGAAGAAGGCCCAAGGCCCCCCCAGCCGCCAGCAGAGAATCAGGATCTTTTCACACCCAGGGGGCCAAATTCAGCAGTCTCCTCCCTCCGTCTTTTTCCCGTCTCCAGATCTAATGACAATCCAAAGAGTTCCTGATAGGGTTTTAAAAGATGCTCTTCATTCACTATCCACCAAGCATGAAAATCTAGCTCGTTTGTCTCCATTCTTTGCCCTAAAGGCCTGGCCGGCCTCGGGCCTGCAGCCTCAAACTTGTCACTCACTTTTCACTTCCTTTTGTTGGATTCGCCTTTATTTCATTCTTCTGTCTCCTCTGTGCACCTCCTCTCCCCCTCCTCACTCCATCCCTGTCCTTCCCCTCCGCCCTCCCCCAGCACTCCCCAGTTCCTCCATCCACACACAAAAAGCAACAGATCAGTCTGGGAATTTCTTTACAGTCCCCATGTCCCCTGCCCCCATCCCAGCCTCTTCTCATTGCTTTTAAAGAGTGGGAGCAAAAAGCTAGCAGCAACTGAAAAAGGACTCGGGATCCAGGAACAGAACTGCCTCTTGCTCTGGCTGGCAACGGCCTCATGGACCCCTGAGTCCTGAACTTTGGCTTCACAGCTGTGGAAACTGAATCCCTGAAAGGGGAAGAGACTGGCCCAAGGTCACACGCAGAGTTAGTGGCAGGTCCGGGTCTGGAGCTGAGTGTCCCAGTTTCGCAGCCTAGACTCGCTACGCAGAATTGAGGCTACCCCTCCATGCCCACGGCACCGAGTTTATTCTCCTTTTATGTCTCAGCTGTCTGGCTAAGAGAGGGTCATAGCTCGAAGGCAGGGGCCATCGCAGTGTCCAGTTCATCGCAGTGTCCCTTGAATGCTTAGCATGTGGTAGGCATTCAGTGGTAATGTTTTTAATGAAACTGAACTGAATGAATGCAGGGGCCAGGCTGCCCCCTACTCTCTGGATCTCTTATCAGCCACCTTCTGGGCTGTGGTTTTGTTGCCAGGCCCAGGGTGTTCCCTTCCCTGGGCCCAGTGAGCAGGGAGGATACATAAGAAAGAGGTGTATGTTTAGCAGTCAGACCCCTTCTAGCCATTTCCCCTTCTAGGAACAGTCAACACTGGCGGAAAGGAGAAAGGTGCTCTCACCCTTCTCCAGGGGCAGGACAAATAGGTTGGAATCCTCAAAGCCTCAAGCAGGGAGGGAGGTGGCAACAGGCATCTCACCAGGTCAACATGAAACAGGAAGCAGTAAGAGAGAAGGAGGAGGGGAAAGAGAAGCAGGCAGGTTTACAGGGGCTCTGGCTCCACCGGTCCTCAGTGCATGCCAGGCCCTGT